CATATACAAAGGATGCTACTGTAGCTGGTAGAGCAGTGAATATTTTAGTTGGTAGTGTTAGAGTGTTGCCATTATATTCTATTGTGGAGACCTTTTCATCAGGTAAATCTTGAATCTGTTTAACATTTATAACTACAAGCAATGGACAGTATTAGATGTGATTTATAGGTTCTTACAGATACTGTCAGTAGAAAGGGATAAGTTCTGTCCTATATTAAGTGCAAAACTATCCAGCGTTATTAATAGCTGACTAGCAATAGAAACACCATCCTGTCATTCATACAATTGATATTATGTCACATGATTAATCATACCATCATATTTGAAACCTTCTGTATTATTTCAACAGCTATCTCAAGCACTACCTGTAAATGGAAATGTTTTAATTGTAAACTATTAATTTGTAAAGTGCATGCTTTGTTTTTCAGGCAATGATGCATACCAACTACATACCTGTGTTGTTTCATTATCTGACTCCATAGTGCTGTTTGTGATAATGAAGTCCAGTAATACAATGCTTTGAGCTGCTGGAAAGTCATTCAGTTGTTCTGATAATGCTTCAAGAGCAACATAATGTGATATATTAATCTACAAGTGAGAGGTATGCTAATAATGAAGACAGTGTTTGTTTGCAACACATATTAAATTACTTTTGACATTATTTCTCTGAATTGCTTACTAGCACTGCAGTTAATTTGACCCCAACTTCCATTATAATCACAATACCTCGTAGCTAAAGAGAAAATAATTGGTTAGTTTATCATAAACACTAACCATTAAATGTTCCCTTATGACAAGTACCATTTGCTCAATGCCCAGGCTTAGTGCTTTCCCATTCATTATTAGTTCCTGGGCAATTCATTAAAAGAGGAGATGAAGAATTAGTAACAATTGAAGTTGTAGGCATTGATATTATTAGTTCACTGGAAGAAGAGAATTCAGGTGTGGATGATGGACTGAGCATTGATGATGTGGTTGGATATACACTGGTAGAGGAGAATTCAGGTGAGGATGATAGACTGAGCATTGATGATGTGGTTGGGTATACACTGGTAGAGGAGAATTCAGGTGAGGATGATGGACTGAGCATTGATGATGTGGTTGGATATACACTGGTAGAGGAGAATTCAGGTGAGGATGATAGATTGAGCATTGATGATGTGGTTGGGTATACACTGGTAGAAGAGAATTCAGGTGAAGATGATAGACTGAGCATTGATGATGTGGTTGGATATACACTGGTAGAGGAGAATTCAGGTGAGGATGATAGACTGAGCAATGCAGTAGTTTGATCCACTGAGCAAAGTGGTCTTGTAGCTATAGAAACTGTAAGTTCAGAACAATGCTCACTAGATGCATCAATATTATTGCCCCTCAATTTAGTTCTAACACTTAAAGTTCGTGATAGTTTTGAATCAGAACAAATTGTTAAGTTCCTAGTGCCATGATTTTCATACGTAAGCTTTCCCCAGTTAATTGTCACAGGGCAGTGAGTATCATGATAAATCCACTGAAAGCGCATCCATCTGTTTTTTTTTGTTATTATGCCAACAGACTCTACATTTGCTGTTCCAGCTCCAGGACCTGTTAATTTAAAATAATTATATTGTATATAGTGCAAAATTTTTGAGGGCTGTAAATTTTGCGGATTTCGTGATTTTTTGAAGATTCACAAAAATTACTTCTGCAAAAATCAAATTATTACAGTACAAGATGGGCAGACGGCATAAATTCACAAAA